TTGCATTTGTGAAGAGCTATGGTTGGAAGAATGAAAATATAATTCGAAGACAGAATTGCTTTGCAGGTTCTTTATTCATACAGTGAAAGTCAGCTTACACAGCTTGCACAGTAAACTCACTTAAAATAATCAGGATGAAATAGAATGAATGTTAAATTGTAACATGAGGAGTAACAAACTCAGAACTGCAGAGGTGTTCCGCTGCAGTTTGTGAGGAGTCAGGTTCTTGTCCCTGATGTTTAAGGGTTGTTGGAGAATGGACAGAGGATATGGCCTTCCTGCCAAATGCACAGCAGGACTTTATTCTCCATTTGTCTGACTGTTTCCCAGAAAGTTATCCTAACAATATGGCACCAGGAAACCTAAGGAGGGACTCCAGGGATGGTTCCCGTTAATCTGGAGGATGACAGACGACAGGGTTACACAAAGGAGTGAGAAGCCAATGGTAGTATCCAGAAGAGAGAGGCTGTGATTGAGATGGGGGAGGCTGAAGGCTTCCTTTGGGAGCTGGGAAAGGTGACCAATGGAACTGGAGAGGGAGTATGGAAGAAGCACTTCATCTCTTCCTGGTCTACAAGGAATTCTGTAGAAGGCAAGTTGTGCAGAGCTGGCAGCTCCTGCCTCCATTCCCCTGCTGAACTTCCTGGTAAATTGTTCCAGCCCTCCAAGTCTGCTGTGGTATGTTACCCATTATGACCAAAATCAACAGCACTTGTGTCTGGTTGGAGGTTTCTCTGTTTCAAAGCTCCCCATCCTGGGAGTCGTGGGACAGGGGGGAAAGGGAGGGTCTATTGGTTCACGTCAAGGCCAGAGAGATCCTTTGTGACCAATTGGACAAGATTCCAAAGTGCCTCACAAGTTTGAAAACTTTCATTACAGAACCTCAGAAACCCACACCAGATCTGGGTAGATACAGCGCTGATGTTAATGACAACTCAAGAATTCATGGGTGAAGAATTAGATGGGAGAGAAGTTACAGCTTGTTCAAAAAAATAATGAAGATTTCACACCAGTATGTTAAGGTATAGTCAGGAAATTTTAGCTGTTGAGAAGCAATCTACGTCCTTGTTTTGTAAAAGCAATATTGAGAAATTAACTGATGTGTTGCAGAAATTCCATCTCTGGTTTCTGTTTAGTTTTGCTTGCTTTTTCCAGCTTTCTTGCAAAACTTGATAATCCTGCAACTGAAAGAAGAATCAGATAAATCTTCCTTGGTGTCTCAGCTAAACTTCAGGTCAAGCAGACAAACAGGTAAAATCATCATGAAAATGTAGTTATTACTTGAAAGGCAATTTATCAAAAGGTACAAGTAGTTGCCTCAGGGGTTTATGATGCAAGTATCTATTATTATTCAATTCTGGCAGTGCCTCCTCCCACTACCCTGAGGGGTTTTGATTGGAAAATACTCAAAATGTACCCTGTGCAGGGGAAATATTTTCCATGTCCCTCCATTAGTGCACTTTGTATCTACGTACACCACAAAGACTACAATAGTTCAAGAAAGTCACTTAACACCACCACCTCAAGGGTAGTTCAAGATGGGCAACAAATGTTGACATTACTCGTAACATTCATTAAAATTGACACATGAAAGACAATTGAGGCTGAAAGTTATCCCACAGGAAATGAGAGGCTTAGCGTCAGGATAGATGTTATAATTGAAAGATATCACACATGTCAAAACCAGTCACTTTTGGTCTCAATAGAGGAAAGTCAACAATACCCTCGTGAGGCAGCAAACCCTGTAGTTAAACTGCCCAACAGATTCCACCCTTGACAGTCAGATTTCACAGTCCTTGGGAATCCCCATTGCTGGAGAGACATGAGAGTTTCTATGGAGAAGTGGCAATGTCTGCACAGTCTGGATTGAGGGTGGGGAGGAACTAGAGTGTTTCTTATGACCACCTTCATTCCCGAGAAGCTCCCATTTGAAAGAGAACCCGCCTGGATCCCTCAGCCTCAGCTTGGATTAGTGGAGATGGGGAGGGGAGAACAGACCCTTTGCTGCAGCAAGATGAATCAGAGTGACTCGGTTTGGAAGGCTCCAGCGTTTTCACTGCATGACTGTTAGGTCCAGCTGATCCCCAGATGGAGTCAGTAATGAAAGATGCACAGTGTGTGTGGTGGAGTGGGTGGGGTGGAGTGGGGGTGTGTAGTTCAAACAGTGGGAACTCCATGCTCAAGGATTCCTGTGCTCAGAAAGCCCATGCTTATTGGCATGTAGTAATACCCAGGGTCTAATCAAACCATACTGCAGTCACCTTAAGTACAGTTTCTCACCATGCTTTTCAGTCTGAACTGGAGCCAGCGCTGGCTGAACTGTTTGAGGACAAGTTGAAAGGACCCTCAACTATTGAAACATCTGTTTCATCAGGCAGCAAATCTTTACACATGTTAATCTCAACGCTTTTGAGTTCACAGTTTTCATAGTTGACCACAAACTTACACAGATGTGTTTTCTAGGAATATAAAATATGTTAAGAGATAAACCAACTGAAACAAACTTATTCACAGCATTTCATTTGTAAAACAAGTTTTGAGTGATAGTATTAATCACAGAATCACAGATGTATGACAGTGCAGATGTATCCATTCAGGCCATTGTGCCTGCACTGGCTAATTAAATGAAATTCATTGAACTGCCAGTTTCCTGTTTTATCTCCATCCCGTTGCACATTATTTTTATCCAAATAATTATCCAATGTCCTCTTGAATTTCTCAATTGAACCGTTGTCCACCACACTTCCAGACAGGGCATTCCATATCCAAACCATTCTATTCCTCACTTTACCCTGGATTCTTTTGCAGATCATTTTAAACCTCTTAATATTCACTTTAAATCA